GCTTTTCTAGGTCACCAAGAACTGATTATCCTCGTCGAGGTCTTCAACATTGACCATGTTAAGGTAACATGCTTTATCGTATTGTCCATGGTAATGGTGAACTCCACATGTAGCATCTAAGTTGGCATTGTTTCCATTATAGTGATGAACTCCAGATGTGGTGACTGAGTCGGCCTTACTTCCATTGTAGTGATGAACCTAAATCTTAGTCAACATAGCATAGTATTTAATTTCACTAAGTCCTTAAGTTCCTCACCACCTCCTTCGACCCTGCCACCTTCGACCGACATCACTTCATGTGACTTTCGACATTGGGTCATATTGATTCTCATATGAGCTCATTCTATTTTCCCTTCCACATGGCATGCTTGTGGGCTTGTGGCTACTCTCATGATACTTTCCATTTATATCCAATTCAAAAAATCTAGTGTAACAATGAGTCAACATCTTCAGAGGTTAGCAGAGCGAGCCTAATACCTTTGACTCGTCTATATTTGACTTATCTTGCTAAATCATATGAAATAATAACATTTAGAGAGGGTTCAAAAGTGGAATTAAGCCAAAGTTGCAAAATCAATATAGGTCCATAGATCAGGAGGTTGTCGTCAACACTAGTTCGATGTTTTAGTTCAAGGTACGTATGCCCTAAGGATTCATAAAGACAATCTAGGATTAACTTTTTGAGACATACATTTCAACCCTCGTGACTCTAAGTCGCTAAAGATATGAATTTCTTAGCTACATGAAGATAACTAGAACAAAAAATGAAATGGGATAACCAGAGGGTGAGGAAAGCAATAAGGTCGTAATCAGAGACTTTCCCAGTTTGGTCACAATGGTCTTTTATATAGGCATTGAAGCTAGGGTGGTAGAATTTAAAGCTAGGTTTGGTTTTGTTCTTGTTAAAGGGTAGAAAGTTTCCTTTGTTGGTCGAAGACCAGTAATAGCAGCAACATCGAAATGAGTAGGGGTTACCATCCCACAATGAAGCCAAAATGTGTTAGTCGAACCATCCCAAAAATAAAGGGTAGATATAAGCATGTTGGTATTATACCTTGGCATAGTTCTTAATAGTTGAATTAATCAAAGATGCATTGATTTTTCAAGATATCCTCTTTATTATTTTCCACTATATTCAGCCAATTGAGGTAAACATCATTGTTGGTGGAAGAAGAAGAATGGAATGCATGGTGAGGTTGTTCCATGAACCCTAACTCAAAGCTCTATTCCTCAAATGCATGAGGTTTACAGTAAGGTAAATAAGGGAAGAAATATTTCAGTTTATTAGGCTTCACAAATGATATAGATAAAGGACCAAGAAATGCATGAATCATAATAAAACCAAATTTTTATTAAAAAAAGTAATTAATTAATTTATAATAATTAGAAAAGGATAACATCTAACCTTTTAAAACAAATTTGTGTTAATTGAGCGACAATAACCTAACATTATCAGTGGAGGAAAATTTGGGTGTCTTCTACGTGGGAACCTATTAGCTTGAGGTTTTTTTCTCGGTGCTTCGAAATGAATACGAGATATGAGATATGTATAAAAAAAGCATATGGGTAAGTCTTTATTTCGACACCAAGGGGACCTTTTACAAATTCAACCAGTATACTTTTCAACTGAAATGCTTAGGCAACTTGAATTTGCTTTCGACAATAGGAATGGTTTCAAGCACTTATAAAAACTAAAGACGCGTGAAATACTGAAGACATAATCGCTATCGATAGTTATTGATGCAACTAGCATATAAGTAGATTTTGACTTTGTAATGAGGGTTCACATTTCATTTTATTATCTTTAGAATTAACACATCCAAGTCACAGAGATTAAGAATTTGTGAGAAATGTATGAACTTGCATCACACTCTTAATGCAGACACTTTATGTCCAATTGCTTTATTATTTTTCTTTATTTACTTTATCCTTTTAAGTACTTCTTTGAACTTTTATCCAATTGCTCTAATTTCAAATATAAAACCTTAAAGCACTATCACACTTTTTCAAATGTTTCACGCAAAGTGTCTTTAGGATTTTTTTGAGTTTAATCCTTCCATTGAATTAAAACTCGTGATTTGTTTACTAAAAACATCAGTAAGTATAACCCTTAGTCAGTAGCATTACTAGGAGGTTTCACTCATGGAGGCATAGGTATATGTCCTTGGCAGGGCGAGCGGTTCTTATTAATTCTTTTCTTGATGCAATTCCTAACTTATATTTGTCTATTTTAAAGATGACTGTTAAGGTTTGGAAGAAGATTGTGAGAGTTCAAGGAGGTTTCTATAAGGGTGGTGTGAGAGGAGGGTCAAAGATCACTTAGGTTAGGTGATCCGATGTTTGTAAGCCTAAAAAGCATGTGTGTCTTGGTGTCTGCAAACTTTGCTTGGTTATCCTAGCTTTGCTAGGTAAGTGTAGGTGGCAGTTCCTCTCGGGAGACTCAAGGGTCTGGAGAGATATCATGTCTTCTAGATATGGTGTTATCTTGACTTGTTCTATTTTAAGAGTTAGAGTCCATTTCCTTCATTGTGTCTCCGGGTGGAGATAGAGAGGTGTCCCTTCTTAGTGTCAAAGGGTAAGACCCCTCATATTGGTTTCAGAATAGTATGGTTAAGAAAGTGGGGTTGGGTCTGCTCACTAATTTCTAAAAAGACCCTTGGATTAAGGATATTCGTCTTAGGGCTAGGTTCCCTCGACTTTTTTCTTTCTTAGATCATAATGAATGTTCTATGGGAGAGGTTGGTAAGTGGGAGGGGCAGACTTGGATTTAGGATCTTAAGTGGAAAAGATCTCATATTTTTAGCATGAACATGATTTGATAACTAATCTCCTCTTATTAGTTATAGATTTTATCCCTTCCTCCCAGCTCAATAAATGGTGGTGGAGTCACTCTAAAGATGGTTCTTATTTTGTGACTTTCGCTTACTCTTTTGCCACATCTCTCTGATTGAGTCAGTTTTTCCCAATATCTGAAATATAGTGCCTCTCTTAAGTTATTATTTTATCTTGAAAATTCTTACATGATATGATTCTCATTAGAAAAAATTTATTAAGGAGGGGATCCGGGTTGGCCTCTCTAAAATAATTATATATATATATATATATATATATATATATATATATATATATATATATATATATATATATATATATATATATATATATATATATATATATATATATATATATATATATATATATATATATATATATATATATATATATATATATATATATATATATATATATATATATATATATATATATATATATATATATATATATATATATATATATATATATATATATATAAAGGTAACTCTATAACTTTATAGATATTTTCAAAAGAGTTATGCTATGCTTAACTATTTTTCGTTACACCGAATTTTATCAAAGGAACATGTTTATGCACAAAAATTAAGACAGGATAAATTAAAATAATAGAAAATGTGCAGTGTAGGTATGCATATATGGTATTTGTGTAATAGATGGGTGTAAATTTATCGTTTCTCTTTTCAAAAACTCAAACTCATCTTAAAAGAAACACTATATTATAAATTTACATTATGTAGATAGGTTTGGTTTCATATTTCGATCACTCAAAATTATTTTTTGAATGTACATATTTGATTTTAAACTCAAATTAGTTTATCTTTTACTCATTTTTAATCATAATCAATTTATATAATTACTTATCTTAAAATCAATTTTCTACCGCAAAAACAGACAACAGATGCCAAATAGTTTAATACTGTTGCCACACTTCTCCAAAGTCATACGCTCCAGTATTTCTCTGTGTGCAACTCGATCAATGTGCATAAATAATAAGAATGGCATAATGGAAATTCAAAATAACTAGCCATTTGTTCTGTGTTTCTTCACTGTTGAGCGAAGAATGTATAATTGTTGGGTCCTACGGAATCTTAACTTCAGTCTTCTACATTTTCCTGCAACTAAACGGTAGTAGAAGTTTCCCCTTTCTCTCTTATATTTCTCATGTCTCAGTCTCAGAACTACCTATACTTAACCAAACACAGATCATGATTCTATGCATTTAAGAACTAGAAGGAAAGAAAAAGGGTTACAAGAAACAAGGAAAAATATTCCAGTTCATTGTTTATGTTTTCAATTGAAAAGGATAGGAAACTAAGATTTACGTCAGATATATTGCAATTATTTTGTTTTGCTGTCCCACCAAAATTAGAATTTTTGCACCAAATAAAGCTATGGTACTTCTATTTGCATTATTTTAAAGCAATAGTTGTTTACACAAGATATATTTAGCAGGGTACCAAACCTTTAATAAAATGTCTCAAAATTTTAAATTTATTTATAAAAAAATTCAAATTTTGTATATTAAAAAAATTTATTTATAAAAATTCAAAATTTGTATATTCAAAAAATTTATTTATAAAAAATTCAAAATTTGTATATTCAAAAAATTTATTTAATTATAAAAAATAAAGCAATATACATATCGATCTACCTCACTCACTCTAAATTAGATATAATCGAATAGTTATAAGTAAAAAATAATAATTTAATACTAGATTAAATTCAATTTAACGACTATATATATATATATATATATATATATATATATATATATATATATATATATATATATATATATATATATATATATATATATATATATATATATATATATATATATATATATATATATATATATATATATATATATATATATATATATATATATATATATATATGAGGATTATTATATGAACTAATTTTTTTGAGAGATAAGCTGATTTTTATTTTTAAAACAAAATTTCATAGTTTTCCAAATAAGAAATTATTTAGTTAATTACTAATCGTATATAGGACAGACATTTTCGTCAATTCCAATCCAAAGCCTAGAATCCAAGACACAGCACTCCTTTTCACCAACTATAAATACCATTCCATAGTTAAAGTATTCTCACACTTCAACATTCAAAAGTCACAAGAGATAGAAAAATCAGTAAATATAGGACATGGCTTGCAAGATGCAGAAAAGGGTATCACTGCGCAGAAGACTTCACATACTGCGATTCCTTACCAACTCCAACAATAATGTACCACATTCTAACTTTTCTTTTAACTCCCCTTAGAAATAATCTTTTTAAAATGATTTCGTGCAACTCAACTGATATATGTTAGTTGAAGATAGGGACTCAAAGGTTTCAGCACTAAGTTTACACCTCATGCACACATGATTTCACAAATATAATCACTAAATATATGTAACCTTTCAAGCAAAATATTTTTTTGCTGGTTTGTTTTGGAAGGTGAATATCAACAGAAATTCCATTGCTAAGAGTACTTTTCTACAATTACAGAAGCTAAAGGTTGCACTGGAAAATGTCAAAAGAGAGTATGAAAACCTAGTAGCCACAAGAAGAGACTACGTTAGCCTATTGAAGAATAATGTCAATGATAACAAGGTATGTTCTTCTTTTATTTGTTAATATTAAAATTCAAGGAAAATAACATGATATTGTTTTTTAATGTTTTGCAAAATTTAACAGGATGTTAAAATAGTGAAAATAAGTGAAGGAACATTTATGGTGAAGGTGACATGTGAGAAAGGAGGTGGGAAGTTGGTTGCAATTTTAGAGGCTTTTGAAGAGATATGTGTGAATGTTGAGGAGGCAAAAGTTTCATGCGAAAATGAGTTTTCTATGGAAGCTATTATTGTTAGTGAGGATCAAAGTCTTGATGTTACAGATGTTACTGAAGTGATTCTAAAAGCTATTGAAAAGTAGAGTGGTGAAAAGGGTTCAGAGTAGCTTGACAGCTTGAGTAATTTGTGTGGCTTTTCAAGTACATTAATTAATTTGTTTAATAGTATTTTCTTGTGTACCTCAATAAGTTTTTACCTATTTCATGTTGCTCTCATATATAAAGCTAGCAAGTAGTGGTGAATGAAGAAATAACATTAATATATTTGTGAATAATCACCAACGCATGCACTAAATTAAATCTGCAAAATAATAAATAATCATATAAAATCAGAAGCGTTTAGTTTTAAAAGTTTAAAAAATAGGCTAAAATAATTTTATGTTTTAACACCATGGATATAATGCAAAAAATTGTGTAGCCAGACTATATTAACTTGAACCTGAGTTAATATGATTGTTCCGATCAATCTATATGAATCGAAAAACACTTTTGTATCTTAGTGATCTATTAATCATATTAAATCTTCATATTTTTTTTGTTAGTGATGTCATTTTGTATTTATTGGTTATGCGCATCACTTATATTTATAATAGCTCTAAATATTTCACCCATGTTTTGGCTCTTCAATCACAAAAGTTGGAATTAGTATCACTTGTTTGTTTAAATTGGCTTAAGTCTCAATCTCATATATATATATATATATATATATATATATATATATATATATATATATATATATATATATATATATATATATATATATATATATATATATATATATATATATATATATATATATATATATATATATATATATATATATATATATATATATATATATATATATATATATATATATATATATATATATATATATATATATTGAAAAATGATCTATATAATTTTTTTAATAAAATATAAAAAGTTTTTTTAGTTATTTTTATAAAATAAAAAACTAATTTTGATATCCTCTAACATAACTTTACATTATTAAAGATTAAAATATAATTGAAATCACACTTTTTTTTAGAAAAAAAATATATCTCAAAAATAATTTTGTTGAAAAACTATTTGAAATAGCTTCAAATTTAAATAATTTTTTAAAATTTTAATATCTAAAAAAATTTATAGTAAAAGGATGAAATACTTAAAATAATATTTTAAAAATAATTAGTTTTAATCAATTTTTTATTTAAAGTTTTTTCTTAAAATTATGAAAAACTGCTTAAACGAACTATTCCTTTATGAATTTGACTTCTCATAGTCAAAGAATTTAATCATCCTTTAGTAGCTACTTTATACTCAAATGAGAAACATACAATTTATTTTTCATAAAATAATATTGACTAAGACATCTCTAATTTAATTAATCTTGAATATTTACTCAAGTCAATAACAATAAACTTAATTTCTATAATTAGATTTTCACAGGTCTGTTTATATGACTAACAAGAGACGTCATTATTTCTATATAAAGATAGATATAAATCTATTTAAAAATTTATTATAAATTGACAACTTTTGTACGTTTGACCAATCACGCAGTCAAGAATTCATGCATTGTCGGTGATGATGGATCACATAATATCCATATGTGATCGTTAGGTGTTTCAAATTATAACTTTAGTGCTCTTCATCCCATGGCCGCTCTCGATTCAATCAACTTATGGTAGTTATTGGTACTTTGTATTGGCGATGAAATTAGAGGAGGTGCGGTGATGGTGTGATAAGAAGTGACAAGATTGTTTTGTTAGTGCAACAATTGTTTTAAGTTGTCATGCGGAGAGTGAAACCATGAAAAAAACGGCTTTTTTATGGTAGAGAATTATGTTTTCGTAAAAGGGAATATGGATTTTATTTTAAGATGTTAACCATAAATGGAGAAAAATGTTGGTTTGTTAATGTTATATGAAAGATTAATGATAAATTTTATTTGAAGAAAGTTGAATTGGGGAAGATACTATAATTGTGTGTTTGTCATAAATCATGTAGTGTTGGTTAATGATTCTCCTACTTAATAGATTAGCATTTAGAGGGAGTTAAAGCAAGACAATCCTCTAACTCCCCTTTTTTCTTTCTTTTTGTAGAAGGTCTCAGTGGGTTGCTCACTAAGGTTATATAATTAATTTGTTTCTCTAGTTTTAGGATGGACTCTTCGATTTAGGTGGTTTCTGATCTCCAGAATGAGGATGATGCCATATTTTTGGTTGATTCTTAAATTCAAAATCTTTGTCTTGATAAAACTATTCTTAAAGGCATTGAGCTAACATCAGACCTTTGGATTAATTTTCTTAAAAGTAGTCTTATAGTGGTTAATGTGGACCCTTTTTTTTGTCATAGAATCAGCTTGAGAGTTTCTCCATTGTAAGATTGAGAGTATTCTTTTTAGGTACCTTAGTTTACTTGTGGGGGCTAACACTTGCTTTAAGGCTAGATGGGACATGTTGGTTAATATTTTCTAAGAGGATAATCTCATGGAATCATTTGTGTGTTAGTCTACGAGGGCAGGTGATCCTTATAAACTCGATGTTAAACTCCATTCCTATTTTCTTTTTGTATTTCCTAAAAGTATCTTTCAAGGTCTTGAAGAAGTTAGTTAGGATTCAAAGAAGGTTTCTTTATGGAGGTGTGAAGGGTGTTGCTAATATTTTTTGGGTGAAGTGGTCTGATGTTTGTAAATCCATGTGCAAGAGTGGGCTTAGAGTCTTGCTCTTTATTTGATTTAATTAATCATTTTGGCCAAGTGGAAGTGAGGGTTGATTTCTAGTGTTTTTAGTCTTGGGATGAAGTCTTTTTGACTATATATGGACCTCTTAAGGAGTGTCTCTTCTCGAGTCAAAAGAAGACGAATCCTCTTATTGGTCATCACACAATATTACCAAAAAAGTTGGATATAATCTCCATAGTTCTTTATGGGATGACATGTGGGTCAGAACCATCCCTCTCAAAGTTAGGTTTCCTAGGCTCTTTAGTATATCTAATTAGAATGATCACTTTGTGGGTAAGATTGTTTGTGGGAGGATGGTGTTTTATTTGGGATCTGAGATGGAAGAGATTTTTCTTTGTTCATGAGTTGGAGTGGGTAGCCTACCTTGTTTATGTTATGTAGGGAACAACTATCTCATTAGGTAATGATAGGTAATGGTGGTGTCATTCTAATGATGGGGTATTCTTGGTAGCTTTGGATTTTCAAGTCAGCGAGATTTTATCATTCATATTGCTTCCCCCTCCCTCTCCTTTGAGGAGTTGATCATTTCTCTCATTTTGGTTAGTTGGGCCTTGTCTAAAGTAATGATTTTTTCTTGGTATTTTTTGCAAAAGAAGATCACTACTAGAGAGTTTCTCCTTAAAGATAGGGTTATTAACAATCCAAAAGGGATTAGTTGTCATGTGTGTAAGGGGTTGGTTGATTTGGATTATGATCTTTTTGTAACTTGTGAGGTAACTTCTTCTATGTGATGTAAGATATTTCAGAGATTGGGTGAGTTCGCTATGATATGACACTTTATTGTTTGTTTTATTTAGATTTCTAAATATGATACAATTTATTCAAGTTCATCCGTGAAAGACAAAATGCATCCCTATATATTATAAAAGACAAAAGTATTATAATATATATTATTACATGTACACTTAACGAACACATGAAAAGTGTTATGAAAAAAAATATTAACAAACTAGCATTTAATAACTAAGAGATTTTATCCAACCACCTTTAACCTGGCACCCCTATATATTTTCATAATGGCAAAAACTCATTTATCAAATTTAACTAAAAAAGAGTGAAAGAAAATTTCGACAGTGCAATTGAAAAATCCGGTATAAATTAAAAAATTCGATAATGTATTTTAAAAAGTTGGTATGCATTTTTACCAATTCTTAAAAAAATGAATTTAATACTATGGATTTTTTTGATAAATCTGATATGTTTTGTTATTTTGTGGATTTTTTAAAAAACTCTGGTAGTTCATTTTTATAGGTGAAAAAAAAAACGAAATTAACATTACCATATTATTAGAAAAATTCAGTACAATACTGGTTTTTTCGGAAAAAAAATCCGATAAAAACTCAGAGTTTTAAAAAATCTGATAGTATATTTGAAAATCTTGATAAAATCCCATAGATTTTTCAAAAATTTAACTGTATATTTTAAAAATTGGGTAAAAACACATACGTTTTTAAAAACTTTAATTGTATATTTGAAAAATCTGTTAAAATTTCATAATGTTTTTAAAAATTTAGCAGTGTATTTAAAAATCCGATAAAAACTCATGGGATTTTCCTAAAATACCGTAAAAATTCATAAAACCTTCAAAAATCCTATAAAAACTCAATAAATTAATAAGTTCATTCGTTTTTATAATTTGTAAAAATAATTAGAATATCAAATATATTATGTGTTTTTTAAATAGTTTTTTCATTTTAAAAATATTTCTGAATTTTAAATAAAACAATCTGTACTTTTCCATTCAAATGAAAAATTAATAACTTGTTTAAGTGATCAATTTAACCACGATTCAATTATGTTCATACACACATTTTTTATAATCATTTTGCACTTTTTTAACTCTCCAGAAGAATATGTTCCACTTTTTCCAGCTCAAATAAAATTTCAGTAGTTTTGTTTATGAATAAAAAAAACTATTCTGCATGTATAAAAGTTATTTTGTATTATTTTATTAAACTTCTGCATTTCAGAATATTCAATAAAATAAATTTAGGATATTTCAAAAAAAAATTAGCTTTATAATTTTAATTTTGAATTGTTTTTAAATTAACGTACTTAAGAAATCTTATATATGTCTTTATAGATTTTGTGGGGTGAAAGATACATTGAATTGGGTGTCGATTAAATTGGTCACAAATGTGGTCGTAGAAGCAACCAAAAGAGGCCCTGTCTTTCTTTTATTTTCTTGAGCAATGTCGACTAGAAAACTGGACTTTATTACCCCTACTTCTTTGGACCTATACCCCTTAGCATGAACATTAGTTGTTATATCCTATAGAGTAGGGAGTGGCAAAACGGTTCAGATATGATGAATATTTTTATTTTACCTGCACTTTAGTGCAGGGTAAGAGTTAG